ATTAAGCCTCTGATGGTTTTCCTTTACCCTTGTGAAGTTCGATAATGGTGGTTGGTTATGTATCGCCATCCATTACCTTCAGGATAAACCCTAATTCGTTGAGTCCTAAGTTTGTCATAAAGTAGGTTTTTGTCATTAGGTTTGCAGAATAGCGCTCTCCTATTTTTCATATGACAAATGTTTCAAAAAATGTCCTAAGTATCTCTTAAGGGTCATTCTCCTAGTTCTGTTAGTTTTAAACCTCTTAAAGTTCTTATGCCTCATGTCACAAAGATTGGTTCTGAGGAACCTGTGCTCTAATACCACCTGTAACAGCCCGAACCCCAATGTCGGTGGGTACAGACGTTTGCACAACATTTTCAACTAATAGAACAGATAATATTAAATATGTAGCGAAACTACACTTTTATACATATTCCTCGTGACAAGATAATTATTTATTTATAGAGACGTTTAAATTAATTTATAATTTTAAAATAAAAACTATTAAAATTTCCTTAATTGTCTTCTATTGATCTTTGACTTCTTTCTCATCTTTTTTTACCTGGGTGAGGGGTGAATTGAGGTGAGCTTCACGAGCTCAGTAAGAAAAAATATTTTATAACAGAGACTTGCATATACGTACATTCATACAATTTATACAATATAATAAAATTTATAATCAAGACAATGTCAAATAAAACATCACAATCGAAATACACAACAACTATTAACGAAAACTTATTTTAATCTTTTTTCATTATGTTATATTCTTATTCATATATATTATTTCTGAAATCTTATACTTAATTAAAATCATTTTAATTTTATACTTAATTCAAATCATTATTTCCTTATTATTCACATTCTTCTTCGTAATATTTCTATACTCGAATATCACACATAAACTCGGATATTACACATCAACTCGGATATCACATCTATACTCAAAATATCATAATACACTCTAGATATCACATTTAAGGTTTCATCGTGCGATACTGTTTATATCATCATTGATGAGAGGAGAAAAGAATCCCCCCATCACATGGATAAGACACAATCTCACATTAGCCACAACAGTTACATTTGCTAGGTGACCCACACGCTCACAAATATCCATGTCTAGATTAGGTTTTTAGACACTATCCGTGTGCAGGTTCAATAGCCACTGAATTTCAACCACGCACGCACCCTCTCCTTTTTGATTTAGACTAAACGAGTAGGTATCCAAAGTCCTTACACTCTACATTCTTTCTAAATCTCTCTCATTTTTAATTCACTTTTTTTATACTTAAGATCTTAATTTCTATATATAATTAAA